TCACTCAAGGGAATCTTAGAAAATATTGGGTTGAAAGACTTTTCACGTGAGAGTAAAATGGTTTTACCATACTGGTTTTCTGACCAACATGAAAACAAAAGAATGTACCGATAACATGTGTGTTTAAAAATTACTTTGTGTATAAGGCCATTCAATCGTGAAGTTGTATGTTAATGTTAATATTATTTTCTGTTGTACGATACCTAATTTAATATAGCCTATAAGGTCAGACTAACGATACACTAGAATAATGGAGATCAGTGTTCTGTCATCACATAAGGGCCATATTGTAGTTTAGACTTTATTCGCTAGGAACATTGTTCCGCTAGCTAACACATCCATTCACAAAATAATTTGATCGACAAGCATCTAGCAATAATATCGATTTCTCTTCTTTTTATTTTTTAATTATCATTGAATCGCTTTAATATTGTTTCATAATAATTATGCTGTCATTTTTTTTTGGTCCGTGCTAGAAGCAGAAGTATTTTTGATGTTTGTAATTAAAATTTCAGATTTATTGCATAAATCACCTGTCCCACCATTGATACTTTGGGCTTCTACCAACTTTAAAATCACACTGTGCCGGAGAGCGAGTACTTTCCCCAACAGCTGAATGCAAGCCCTTTCAAACAGCTGGTTGAATTGATTAAATCCGGGTCTGATCTCGTAGCATTGATACAATGTATAAACTGTGACAATGGCTTTGTGCAAAACCGTAGGGAACATATCGTCACCGACACTACCAAGTTATAACCAAGTCCACTTGGTGAAAACCGCTAGGCCTAACACATACTATGGTGGCTTTAAAGGGCATCGCACATATATATTGACGCCAATATATTGACGCCAATATTCACGACATGGCCCCCATGTCGCAAATATTGACGCCAAAATTGACGCCAATCTTCACGACATGGAGCCAAGTCGCAAATATTGACGCCAATATTCACGCCAATATTCACGACATGGACCCAAGTCGCAATATTGACGCCAATATTGACCCCAATATTGACGCCAATATTCACGACATAGCCTCCATGTCGCAAATATTGACGCCAATATTGACGCCAATATTCACGACAATTCCTCCTTTTTCCGAAAATGTCCGAAGTTTGCCGAGTTCGTTTCGTCGGCAAATCGGATACCGCCGAGTATTTCCGAGTATGATATAGGTTTTTAATTAACTGCTAATTGCTTATTAAAAACTTTTTAAATGAGTATTTTGGAGGAAATTAAAAAAGTATCAAGTAGTAAGGATTTGTTTCGCTAACACAAGAAATTTTGCCATGGTGGACACAACGCGTAGAATATGTACAAAGTTATGGAACTGTTTATTGGGTACGATTTAGTGTTTGCAGATTTAAGGCTCTAGGAGTCCGGGGTCACCCACAAAATTTATTATGGCTTAAAGCATTTGCCACCATACACTCAAAACGTTTCTTTCTTCTCTTTTGAAAGGGTCTTTGACGTTAGCACCATCAACTGATTCAAAGGAAGTCCGAGTGCTCTGTTGGATCATGACGTCACCCTCCTCGTTACGCCCCAAGGCGACTCACGTCAAACAGACGTGGGTCCACGCTGTGACGTCACCCTGTACATGAGCACCCAGGCCGACCCGGAGTTCCCGGCTATCGGCCTGGACGTGTCGGAGGGCCGCGACTACCTGTGGAACAAGACCCGGACGGCATTCAGATACGTCTACCGCCACCACTTCCAGGACGCGGATTGGTTCATGAAGGCTGACGACGACATTACGTCATCGTGGACAACCTCCGCTATTTCCTGCGGGACAAGAACAGTAGTGCGCCGCTGTACTACGGGCACCACTTCACCCCGTACGTCAAGCAAGGCTACATGAGCGGCGGGGCGGGCTACGTGCTGAGCAGGGAAGCCCTGAAGCGGTTCGCTGAGGCTGACAACTACCGGTGCAGCAAACAGGACTACAAGGCGGAGGATGTAGGGATGGGATTCTGCATGCAATCCTTGGAAGTGATCGCAGCGATTCCAGGGATTCACTCAACAGGTCTCGCTTCCTACCTCTGTCCCTTGTAGACTTCGTAAACATCACTTACCGGACTGGTATCACAAGTACAGGAAGTACGAAATACCCAGGTAAATAATATACACGCTTTGTTGCCTTCTGTTTAAATAAGCCCATGTAGCAACAGAACTATTCTGAGAATTTGAGCTTCCAACAGTAATTTTATTATCGGGCAATGAATCGATACCAATGCAAAATGACAATAGAGTTTCTGATCAACAGTCCTTTTGAAAACTTCACATCTCAAAAAGAAAACTATAGAAAGAATCCTTTTGGCTTCCAGACTATCGAGCGATTCAAACTGAAGAACAGGTTGTATAGCAGCAGCAGCAGCAGCAGCAGTAGCAACGCAGGATCGACAGCAACTCAGTTGTTGCATAACAACAGCTGCATTGGCAACCGCAGCATCAATAACTTCACGCCTGCGGCAGCAAGAACACTAAGCACAACCAGTAACAGCAGCAACTGCAGCAACAGATACAGTAGCGGCAGCAGGTCAGCAGCTGCAACAGCAGCGGCAATAATAGCGGTCTCGACAACAATAGCAACAGCAACAGGAGCAACAGCATTGTGGCACCAGCGGCAGCGCTAAATCAGCAGCAGCAATAATAGCAGCATCAGCAACAACGGCGCCAGAAACAGTAGCAGCATAGTACGATCCGCGGCAATAATTAGCAAGATGAACAACAGCAACTGTAGCAGCAACAACAGTATAGTAACAGTAGTTGCAAACATGGATATCAGTTGTAAGAACAGTAATAGCAGCAGCCAAACAAAATGGCAATAGCAGAAAGTATAGGCCTAGCATTGGCAATAGCAGTAGTTGTGTTACAAAATAGTAACAGCAGCAATTGCAGCAGCGACAGCAGCAGTAGTAACAGTAGTAGTAGCAGCAGCAGCGGAGCAGCAGCAGCCACAAGAGAAACAGGTTAGCAGCAACAGCTACAGGAGCGACAATACATGCAACAGCAGCATCACTGAGCAGTAATAGCATCAGCAGTAATAACATTACAATAGAAATAGTAGCAACAATAGCAGCAGCAAGCAGCACAAGCAACAGCAGAAGCAGCATGGGCAGCACCAGCAAAAACTGCATCTAACTGTTCTGCTTTCTTTTTCAGGGCCCGAGCTGTTGCTCCGACTACCTCATCTCCTGCCACTACGTGACGTCTTACGATATGCATCTCTTGGACTTTGTCGTCTACCATCTACGCTCGGCCAACGACAACAAGCGACACGTCTACAAGATTGGCAATAACCGAACACTGCCATTATGACACACACCGACGGTCTGTGTTTCTTTGAAATCAGCAATGCTAGAAACAACTTCAGTTGGTGAAGTGGTTTTTCCAAGCCAGAGGCCAGGCGGACGTAAAATAGCTTGGCACGTGCACGTGGTCAAATCAGTCTGAAGGAAAATGGATTCTTTGCTCGTGTCTCGGGCGAAAGAGAGTCTGATATCGAAACTGAAGCTTCGACTACATGGATGGTCGGCCGACCAGCGTCGGAGAAAACTGGCTTTTTTCCCAACAACTGTTCCTAATTTTTCATATTTAGTTATTCTGACTTTTCTTTGCAATTGATTACACACCAATGAAGGGGTACAAGCCTGCTAGACTGATTCTCTGACCTTACGATTCCCCAAAGTGAATTAATTGCTCCGTTTCATCTTAAGGGGGGTCAGGGAACCAGACTACAAGAACATGATAGGTTTTCTTGGTTTTTCCAGCATCTACAAGCCCCAAAACGTGAAACAAGTCAGTTTAACAATATTTTTTTCTAACATACTAAATCCTCCAAATCTACTTGTTTCTGAAATTCCAGCAAAAGCAAATGTTGTACATTCCCTTTATTACAAAGAAGATCTTGTTGGTGGCTGTTCTGTATATCAGCCCAGTGCATGGGTGTCGCCTGAATTTTTGTTTAGAGCGGGGAAAGCCCACCTCCTCCCCAATAAAAATCCCTGTACTTTTCCATCATATACTCGATTCATCATTTTTCGAGGGTGGGCAGGGACATTTGCCTTCTCTTAACCCATTTAATTATAGCAATACGACTTCACGCCTCTTTTTCTTTGTTTTCTCTTTTTTTTCCCCTCTTTTTTCTTTTGCTTTCGGGGGGGGGGTTGTGGGGCAAGCGCTCCAAACAAACTATAAATGCTAAGGTGTGGCCTTTACAAAATGAAGCAGTTTGTACAAGAAACTTATTTAAAGAAACTCGGACCTGCTTGATTTTAATTTCAAATGTTTCTTTAATAGAGCATTGAATATTCATAAACCACGTACTTGACTAAGAACTTATATTTTGTCAAAGTGGATGTCGTTTAATGTGTACTTTGCCAAAGCTATTCCAAATTTAAATTAGATTTGATATCTGAGCTTGTCTATGCCGTAAAAATCCAAATACAAGCTTTCGACGACAAAACGCATGTATAACTAAAATAATTCTAATAATTCTGTTCTATGCTTATAAAGAAAAATTAAGCATATTTTGATTTATTGGCAGCTACCTTTGGGTATAATGGAAAATATTAAAACGTTTTCTTCTGGGTACTAGAATTAAAAACTGATGTCTTGACTCTTGACAACCACATTCAAATGAAATATCAGTGTGTAGTGTACTTTTCATATATATGGGATATGAATTAGTGTTGGCTTTATAGTGTATATTTGAATTTCAAGGCAAAAATAACTTCATTTAAAATAGCTTATCGCTCTAAAAACCAAATTGGTTAACATAACCAATCATTGGTTGAAATAACCAACAATTGTTTAATATGTGTTTAACCAACCGATTGGTTGGACACATAATTATTAAACAGTTAGTATTGCTTATTTCAACCTATGATTGGTTATGTTAACCAGTCTGTTTTTGTATTTACCAGGTTTGGCAAGAATGTCTTTCTGTGATTTAAACCAGTTGAACGCCCTTTAAATTCTCACGTCGAATAAATGACCCTGGCATTGGTCATCATTTTTCGGTGCGGAATAAAATGGGTGACCATCATAGTACAGAAAACATAACTGGAAAAAAGCGCCTGCAATCGCTCAAATAATCAAGTTATGTTTGGTTTGAGGTGATGCGCTCTTGCGATCGCGAACGTGCCAGTAAGCAACAACTCCGTTACCTGGTTACTTGCCTAGTTACACTTGAGTTATTCATTTTGATGTACCGTAATTAGAAGGCTACAATTCTTCTAGACTATTAATACAGACAAGCTAAAACAACCATCAATCATATTAAAAAGGACTTGCCGTCATTAGAGTGGCATTATTATTTTTGCATAAGGCCTGAGTGCGCATTATAGCTTCTTATTACAAGACGCTAACAGAGCAATACTTACATTCAGTACATTGATTTCATTGACCTTACAATGTTTAAGGCCGGTCTATCGTCTGCAAAATATAGGTCTAATTTGCTGATTCACTTTCCGGTGTTTAATTGTCCAAATTGTTAGATCTTTTTCGCAGATCAAAAAATACAATATCAATTTCATTTACAGGGTGTACGGCAGTGCCTTGATCTGCAGGTCCGTCGCCGTGGACTTCTTCGTCAAATACGCAGAGTTGTCTTTCGGATTTCTGCTCAAGTACCACCCTAATATCAAACACAAGAAATTAGAAATGGATAATAAGGTCGATTGGAGGAATTTCACATTGCGATTTTGTATCTTGGGCAAGACTGGGCAGTGCAACGATATATGCAATAATGAATCTAATGCCACATGCATACTACACAATGTTCCAGCTGTCGGACATTTTTGTGCACGCATCTCGTACACAATTCAAAGCTGTGATTGGTCAAAACCCGGGTGGGCGGGGCTTAATGGATCGGTCCATTGGAACGCAGAGGTAGGTAAGATCTTCAACATTGAATTTAACATGAGGGGAAATAATTACCTGGATGTGTCGAACTCTCTAAATTAAATGCCGGTGCTGATCCCGTGCTCAATGTTTGAAACCAGAGACGGTCATTCAATTGAAGTTTTGTCAGCGTTACCATGGAGTTGGGAAAATCCTGCCCAAAAATCGAGAATTTTGTTTTCAACAAACTGTTTCATGAACCGATTTACAGTAGTAAACAATGCAGTTTTATGCTCGAATATTATTGGTAGGAATTGTAGTTATTTTCGTTTCAAAGAGGAAAAACGATCGCAATAAAAACTTTTTTTTTAATATCCAACGGGTGCATTCAGCTTCCCCGTGTTTACACGGGGTTTATACTTGAGGCATCCACGAAATGAAGCAAATTGAAAGCTGCGGTGTATTTGCCTAGCTTTCTGGGAAAATTAAGGTCAAAAGTCGTTTTATAGTGAGGGGACTTTGAAATGTTGGTGCTACGTTATCCGTTTGTTATTACATAATCACTTGTTAATATAGGCAGAGTATCAATAGCGGCTGCGAGGTCTGGCACTTCTTTTTCTTAACCCATAAAGGAGCCAAGATATTTTGATTCCGCCCCCCCCCTCAGATCTTGGGCAATGAGTGACTAAACATTATGACACTCGGTATATGCATAGAACAACTTAATATGAACGTACAAAAGAAATGTCATGGTTATAGGTTAAAGGGTTAGGGAATTGTCGGCTTATGAATTATTCACATGCGCCGACGTAATTCCGCATTGTGTACACTACATTATGGGGAAAATAGTTTCTGAAAAGTTTTGCATGACCCGAGGCTAAAAAGTCAGGAAAGCTCGGGTCGGGAAAATTTTTTTTGCAAGGGTATCGCGGAAAAAAACTCAAAGGGGCGGATTCCACCCGGACCTTTTAGTTTTAGGGTTAAACATGTTAAAACTTAAGGCGAAACGTAGACACATGAAGGGGCAATACACCCCCTCTCATACCCCACCCTTACCGCTAGATGTACAACTGTTATTATTCTCTTGCTATTTATCATTTTCCCAAAACGTTAGGCTATACTTACCAATAAGTCAAGCTGGGGTTTGTCTTTTTTTCCGGTCGCCGCTGGCGTGTTTTATCCTTAACCGAGGGCTTGCTGGGATCGAAGTTTTCTTGAGAGTATGCCACTATGTTGCCCTGGGAGGGTGGAATGCTGCTGATATATCTGTATCCATAAAACGTACCTATGACAGAGTAATGACATACAGTGTGTATAAAAAAAAATGCAAACAAAATATAACGGAATACCAGACGTAGAATGTGCAACCAACATGAATAATATAGGTATGGTTTGAAAGATACGCCTTTCCACTATAAAATGAGACATCAAACTTCCAAATCCGATAATCTTTGACAGAGTTATGAGTAATGTTCCAAGAGAGGTCAAGTTGACCACGGGACCAAGTTTTCAATTTTAGGTATTAATTGCCTATGTGTGGATATAATTGCCTGGCCGACCAAAAAATGTGTTTATTGAGTAAACGCAGTTCTAAACACTCACTTTCTTCTACCTCATGCGTGCTGAAAATGTTTAGCATAGGCTATAAACATGTTTACAAAACTGACATTGACTTAGGCAGCCGAGGCGCGTCATTTTTTGTAACGGAATTTGACGCCCAAATACCGATGCACGTGGCAATCTGTATTTTGAAAGAGACCTATGAATACCACTCACACTTGTTTTTGTCGTATGTCATAAACTGTAGCTTTCCTTTGTCGATGCCGAGGTAAAGAGTCTGGTCCTTTCGATTCCACGTAGATCTCGCAGCCTGGTATAGGAGCACCGCCCCAATAGATGGCATCTTTCAACATCGAATCGGGTATCACGTCATTGTCAGTTTCAACTATTTGGACATCAATGATTGCTGGGACACCCTCTGTAACAAATAATATACGTGCAATTGATGTTAAAAAAGGGGGTTATTGGCTCACTGGCTTGAAACCCTGCTTAACTCGAACTTTAATTGAGCCCATTCCCCTGAGGTCAGACTATCGAGTTTTCACTGTAGTTGACTAGAGCAGTCCAACCATACTTTAGTCAAGCGAAGTGAGGGTTGACCGTAGTCCTTGCCGAACTTGCTCTGGGCTGTTTCTGTACAAAAAGTACTTAAACTATTTTGAATGCCAACTTGTATTTTGTTGTTGGCAGAAGTTTTCTTTCCTTCAAATTTGTATTTAACCAATCTAATTCATCCTGATTTGTGACAATATTCGTAGCAGTAGCCGCCGCCAGCGGTTTCTTCTACACCGATAAATATAATTATGATGTCACTTTAAAGATATAAAATGCATGACATTCAAAAGCGGCCTCTTGATGGCGCCCTGTATTATTGCACTCTGTTTAACTAGTATTTTATTCAAAAGCCTACCTTG